TCCATTTCCCGGACCTCCTGCAGGACGACGGTGAGTGGGTGCAAAGCCCCATGCAATTCTTCGTATAGCTTGTAAGCAGATGTTACGAGCTGCTTTGCAAGCTTCGGTTGAAAGTGAAGTTCACAAATCACTATGTAGGTACTGAGGAATAGCCTGGAACAGTCCGCGGATATGAGCTGCCTTTGTGCTTTAAAGCATATTTGAAGCAATCTGTAAGCTTGCTGAAATCGTCCTTGCTGTAAGAATTCTGCGGCATCCAGACAGAGGTTATACCAGTCGACAACACTGTCAATCGCATCTCGGTCTTTTTCTCTGAGCTCACTTTTCTATTGACCAGAGCTTATTCTCCCTGCCACACACATTTGTAAACTGTGCAGGCATTTGGACGTTCACTGAAAACATGAAGGAGATGAATGAGCCGTCGGTGACTGAGGATTTGCCAATAGCCAACATGAAATACACAAGCTAATATTTGCAACACTTAGGCCATTCATTTTACTCGAATCTGGTGTTGTAAGACAGCCAGGAGATTGTCTAAGCTGGTTCGAAGTTTGCGCGGGCGATGGGGTCCGACAAGCTAGCATTGATGCCGGGAACTTAGAGCCAGCGGTTGATAACCGGCCACGTTCGGTTGCTGCACAAATTCTGTCTTTATTCTGCTTTGAAGTTCTCACAAGATACGTCTTGAGCTTTTGTGTTGCGATCTCTGTTGTTGATTTACATTCCTGTCGCTTTATCAGCGTTGTCGCATTTCGTCTTTTGGCGGACCAATTCCTCCGCAAACTGAGACTTGAGGTTCTTCTGCAGTGCCCATTTATCGAAGTAAGACTTTCACATCTTGACACTGTGGAATATATTAGTAAGTAATCATTTCAAAGCTGCTTTCAGTCTATCGCAGGCCTTACGTTGCGTAGAATTGATGATTCTCTTCCATGATCCTCATTACTTCCTTTAGGGTGTGTTTCTTGTAGAGGTCGGTTATGGTCTTCCGGTTTGACTCCATTGCCCTGGGGCCGCCCAGACGCGTTGGGCACCATTGATAGACATGGTGACATGCGACTTGTGAGTATCACACTGTTGCGATTAAGGGATAAGTCAACGTGGAAAGATGGTTGAGGATCCGCGATATTTTGAGACACCCGAGGAGACGACATGTAATTAAACAGACAATCAAGAGTCGTAAATGGCAGGACACGATATCGCGTATTGCAGATTCTGGTAAGCCGCCACAAAGTTACTCACAACACAAAAGTCCCTCTCATGCCGAAGATGGGTGACACTATTGCATTGCTCATTGGCTAGCGCAAAAGACCTTAGCATGCGCTTGTTTCGCATCAGAGATGCAATGTCAGTAAGCTGCAAGTATTATTGGTAACTATTTTCCAACCACCAGTCACATCAGTCACCTGCCTGACTGCCTTGATTGCCTTAACCCGGACCAAGCCTCATTCTGGCTGACCAAAGCTAAGCCACTAACCCCATTTCCTTTGCCTTATATTTGAGTTTGTAGCCTTCGATATCTTCAATGTGTCGATGTGAAATTGATCAGACACTAACAAGAAGTCGCATACTACCACAGGCTCACATACAAATTTTAATGTACTAAATCCTATTACAGGTAAATCATTGTTAAGCCACGTGCAGGAGATAAGGAAACATGATGCATGTGCCGCAAAAACCATAAAACACATCCGTTTGAATTAGTGACAGTCAGACATTAACCTTCTCTTGAAGGAGGCGGACAATGATGATAGCAGATCATCGAAACTAGAGATTATAGATAGAACAGGCAGTGTAGCTTCAGTGAAGAGAAAGGAGCCTCTGAGAACCTAGATTTACAAACCCTCCTGCAGTATTTAGTCGTAGTTGAAGATGTTGCTCCAATCCCCAGATTCATCAAAAAGAGCACCGCCCCCTAAGCCGATGCCATCCAGCTCATTCATCCATTGGAAATTCACCAAGTTGGCATCTAGAAGTGAGTCACCTGATCCTATTTCGGCCCATCCTTCACCATTGCCGGGTACCTTTGTAGGGTTGGCATGGTTTTCGACACTATCAACGTAGACTGGCAATCTCGTCGTTTGGAGCAATGGCGTCTCAACACTTGCCGTTGGAGATATGCCGCACCACCATTGAAGCCTGTCTCGCGTCAGCTTCAGTTTGCGTGCTGCCAAGTCATAGGTGGTATTATCCCAGACACCACCTCGAGCTGCCTGGATCTCGGGACGCGCAGCTTCACACCGGTGCACCATGGCCATCAATATATTCGGAACATCGAGCTGCAGCTCAGGACGAGATTGGACATAAGCTCTGAGGTTGCCTTTTGCACTCGTAGGTTTTTGAACTTGATTTGCCGCATCGGTGGTGGATGCCAAATCTGGCAGGCTGGCAATTGTTGCAGCTGCCTGAACAGGGGTACCTGCCGCACTATTGGTATCCGTAATTCCCTGTTGACCGTGCGTTTCTATTTGAAAAGATTTCATCCAACGACACAGCATCGTAATGCCATAGAAGAGCATAGTGAATAATGGCTGCGGCATTCCGAAATAGTAACAGACGGGGACGGAGAGCCAGTGATCTAACCAAGTCTTAAGTGCCATGTGAGCTCGATGAATCATGTCAAGGGCCGGTGCAGTCGAAAGCGTCAGCTGGTCTAACGGCCCGGAAATCCCGTATATCAGACTTTTGTCCGTCAAAGCGACTTCGTAGAGTCGCAGTCTTGCGGTATCGAAATGTGTGATGATAATATCTACCACCAAGAATTAGTTCAAGAGCATTCGGTGCTATGGATGGATGGCTATCTTTGCTTACAGTGTGTTTTCAATTTCTCAGGTACAGAACTCCATAACTTCTCCACCTCTGTCTGAAGAACTGGGAAATGAACCGAAGCTGGAAATGTTGGTAGTCCCGGTAACTCATCTGGCATCTGGTTCTTGAGACTGAGTTGATATATCCGCTCAGTGAGATACTGGATTCGCACAAGTGCGACGAGAAGCTCATCTGTTTCATATTCTTTTGCCTCTGCTAGTTTTTGGAGACACTCGTCAATGTATTTATTATACCGTGGAGCGTCTACTTTATTAAAAGCCATGGAGGCGCTATGAACAAGTCAGTCTCGCAATGCTTGGTCACGCATAAGATACTAACTTTGAGCTCATGTACCAGACTCCAGCAGTAAGTCGTCGTTCCTCGTTTGTTCTAGGACTTGGCTCCTCCGGCTCTCGCATGGCAAACTTCGCCCAATGCGGTAGAATAGGACTGCGGTTAAGCCCCAAATCCCCTAATATTGATGTTGCTAGCTGCACAATGCTATTGAACTCATGATGCAGAGCACATAAGTTGTGATAAGACGCTAGCAAAACCAGAACTCCCTGGAGAAGATCCAGAGATCGTTGATGATTCACATAAACAGCTTCAGAAAGGGTTTTTAGTATTACACAGCATTGCCCTTTCATAGAACGTAAGCTGCGTATCGAACTTGCCATCCTGATGACCTGGAGTAGGAAAGGTTTTGACGCCTCAAGATCGGCAGGAGTAGTACCTGGAGCAAGTATGACAAAAGGAAACCCATGGCAGGTCTGGTTGACATAGAAATCCAACAAAGCATCGTCCGACTCCTGTGGGACGGCATCTTCTGCATCGTATAACCCGTTGCAAGCGCAACTTTTAGCTCCTAGCGAATTGATGTTATGCACTGGGATGACTCGAGCGCGGCTCTTATCTTCGGACCGTGGCTGATCGGTATGGAGTTGCGATTTTGCCCCATGTATTGATGATCGGCTTCTTGGGTGAGTGGTGGCTTGGGGACTTCCGGCTGAGCTTGAAGTGGCTAAGGATTCAGAGAAACCATTTGAAGCGCGGAGCTTCTTGTCAAGTTCAGTAATTCTAACAGGTCAAATCAGTATAACCTTAGAGATATGATGGCCATGCCGTGCAGCTATCATGGAGAAGAACAATGTTTGCCGCCATGTAAGGTACTTCAGTGTCCTCAACCTGAATTATGCATTCAAATAACACCACTGACTTCTCATATATCTTCTCACGAATAAAGAGGCACTATAACTTACGAGTTTTTCCGACGTCTCTTTTTCCTTGGCTTATGAATCTGTGCGAGGCATTCCTTCTGAAGACTGTGACATCTTGAAAATACAAGTTAGATTTATCTACAACCATAACTCTAAAAACTCATCCATCAAAGACGCGACTAACCGGTCGCACTTGGCTTCAGGATCCTGATTCGAGCGAATGCATTTTGCCTTTGCGACTGCACATGAGGTGCAAGCCGCTCCCCATTTGGCGATTCCGATGGATAACTTCGGTTTCTCCATTGCCGGGAGTACCGCCCACTCATTGACTAGTGGTTGGAATACGCGGTGTCATCATTGCTTGCATGATCATGATCATGCCCGCGGGGTTTGGCAGAAAAGAGGATGATGACAAGAGTTGAGCAGGTGAGATGGTCAGGCAAGGGAGCATATTAGTGTTTAAACTCCGGTTGGTAGTCGGCCGGACTTTTTGTTGCTCTACGAAAGCGGCGTAGAGGACGGTAGGAGCCAATCAGAGCTCGGGAAAGCATCGCGAGCGACTCAATGCTCATGCTAACAATTCTCCGAATGTTCTAACGCCTGGGCACAGCCTTGAGCACAAAGCATGCTAGTCATGATCTAGATACTGTTAGTGCCCTACGGCAACCACCTTGCCACGCCTCATACTTAGAGCTTCAGCAAAACCGCCGAGGAGTTTAAATGATCCTACTAGTAATAGCATGTCGTTTATGCATGGCGACCAGCTAGACAGGATTAGAAATAGCTCAAGAAATGGTGTTGTGATCTATTTTGTTTCTAGCTTTATATATATATTGTTCACCCACTCTGATTCCAAGGATGTTGCAGCTTAACCAGCGTGTGGGTATCTCGTTACCTCACATCTCAGAGGTTATACATCATCACTCCCAGGGCCGCTAAAGTGATAATCGGTTTCCAATCAGGAGCTTGAAAACCATGGGTGTTAAGTCGGATCTCGTCGTTGGCAACGGCAAAGACGAAGTGCCCCATATCGACAATGTTGGAGATGAAAAGACGAAGAAGGCTGGCCGAAAGCTTCCAACCGATGTTGCAGACGAGAATCTCCTTCACGGATGGGCACTTTACTCTATGGCATCATCCGTTGTCTTCGCAGTGCTTCTCGTAGCATTGACAGCGACCATCTTAGGAACTGTATGATCCGAGCCCGTTGCCAGATGGGACGACACATAAGCTGACAGTTAATCAATCTACAGGCCACACCTTCCATCACAGACGAGTTCCATACGGTTCAAGATGTCGGATGGTATGCATCGGCATACCTGATCTCTAAGTCTGTACCCTTGCCAAGACAACTGTTGTACAGGGGCTGACCGGGATCATAGCTGCGCCTTGACACCACTCACAGGTACCATATACCGGCTGTTCCACCTCAAGATCGTCTTTCTGTTATTCATTGGTGTATTCGAGATCGGATCTCTTGTGTGTGCAACGGCGCCATCATCTCCGGTCCTGATTATCGGGCGGGCGATCTGTGGTCTTGGCGCTTCAGGGGTGATCACTGGCACAACCACCATTATCGCCTCGACGGTTCCCCTGAGCAAGAGAGCGTTCCTCATAGGAATGGGCGCGGCTTGCATCGCAATTGGACAGACAATAGGACCCCTTATCGGCGGACTGTTCGCGAGCTATGTGACTTGGCGGTGGTGTTTTTATATGTAAGTTCTCGGACTCATGTACGGGGCGGAACAAGTACTGAAGGGTATAGCAACCTTCCTCTCGGCGGCTGCGTCATGATCTTCTTTGGCTTCTTCATCAAGCTGCCGATAACGCACCTCACAGACTCCAAGCTCAAGTTCCACCAGAAGTTCCTGACGATTGACCTCATTGGCTTCTGCGGAGTGGCTGTCTCCTGCGTCATGCTACTCCTGGGCCTCGAGTACGGAGGGTCGATCGATCCTTGGAACTCTGCTACTGTCATAGGGCTGCTCTGTGGCGGTGCGGTGGGCATCGTCTTGCTAATCGGATGGTTCATCTACAAAGGTGACGAAGCACTGATTCCGCCGCGATTGCTCAAGGACCGCATCAATGCCTCCATTGGAATCACGGCCTTTTTGCAGGGCGGAGGCATCTACCTGTCGTCATACTGGTTGCCTATCTGGTTCCAGGGCGTCAAGGAGGCCTCGCCGATTGGGAGCGGTGTTATGATCCTGCCGACGATTATCTCACAGTTCATCGCAGCGGTGGTATGTGGAGCTCTCGTGCAGAGACTGGGGTATTATCTGCCAGAGGTCATCTTCGGAAACGCGCTGATTGCAGCTGGCGCTGCCATGATGATCATCATGACACCTAGTTCGTCCGAGGGGTTCTGGATCGGATTCCAGATCTTGATGGGTGCTGGGCGAGGCTTTGTGTTGCAGCTGGTAAGCGCCCTGATCCTCTTCTGACTTTTCACAAGGTGTCTTAACACTTGACACCAGCTTGTTACGGCCATGCAGACGAATTTGCCGAGAGAAGACGCCTCACTCGGCGCCAGTTTCGTGTCCTTCTCGCAGTACCTCGCAGGCGCAATCTTCGCCGCAGTTGCCAAGGCGGTGTTTACTTCATCCATTCCGAATACACTGCACGAGTATGCTCCAGAAGTGAGTCCATCACTGGTCATCGACACCGGTGTCACCGAGTTCAAGAACGTGGTCTCATCGCCGGACCTGCCTGGCGTGCTCCTTGCGTACAACAAGTCTCTTAACCATGTCTTTGTAAGGGCTCACAGTGACCAATCGAGGAGAAACAAATGCTGATGTTCTTGAAGACAATACAGCTTGCCTGCTCGGCAGCTGCCTTGGTATCAGGCTTCTTCGTGGGGTGGAGAAAGGTCAACGCGAAGAAGCGGAAATCACCCGAGGATGTGGAGGCTTCCACGGGAGAGGATCTGACAGAGACCGAAGGAGATAAATCTGGCTTGCCAGAAACCAAGAAACAGTCGGCGTAGAGTCCCTCGCGGCATTTGTAGATCTAGCCAATGATGTCGGTCCCTATACGACGATACGCGCATAGATGAATCTGGTACACCTAGACGAGTCTCTGAGGTCTCGCCCCGGAGGAACCCTGAGAACGCGGACCCACTGTTGGGTTGCCGATGGTTATGTTTCTGCCACGTTCGGTGAACCGCGTGTTGTCTGAAGATGGAACGACCGTTGGAATGTTCGACAACCAGTGAGAGTCAAAGTCAGGCAAAAACTTAGGATAAGGTGACCACGCTACTATTCGCTCTCTCCAACCCGGTCCTGAGAGCCCGGGTTGGGTAGAGACAAACCGGGACAAGTCAACATCATCTCCCAAGACAATGTGGAAATGCGTGAATATTTCAAAAGCGCAAGGAACCATGACATGCACATGGCAATGTTGCAAAGGAGTGATACGATAGATGGTGTGGGAGAAGGCGATCTCAGCGACGCCTTCAAAAGAAAAAAGTCTCATTGCTAAATGCCACCTGTGGCGCGATGAACTCCTCGATATACTCTATAAGTGTGCATAAATTAAAATGTTGTATATACCAATTGGCTTTGTCTTTGTAGCGGCCCCCTCTCCTATATTAACTTCGCTACCTTGAAGTCGGTGATAGAAAGTAGCTTGCTCATGCCCTTGAACGCCTTCATCAGAAGGTGGTTCAGGATGTACACACCGATCACCAGCCCGATCGCCCCTAGGAGGTACCAGACCCATGGCCGGTCTCCTATCCACATCAACGTCTTGGTGTCTCCTTTATGCCATGAGCAGTCCTCAAGGTCGGTGATGTAGGGCGCCAGTTCGGTTGCGTTGACTACCGAGACGGTTGACGAGGGCAGCGATGGCTGCTCAAGCAGGTAGTTCTTGATCGTAAGGGTCAAGAATAGTGGTCCAGCAGACATCATGACAGCAACATGGGGCTGGATGCGGGCCCAGAAGTGCGTGATATCGTTGAAGTACAGCAGTTTCGCGATAGCAGCCGCAAATAGAGGGTGGTGCGAGGACGTGATCAGAAGATCGTTGGACACACCGGTGGGCGTTGTTGACTTGAACACAGCGTGGTGTGGCGTTCCATCGGCTTCAATTAGGTGTAGAGGAATGGTCTCATTACATATTGTATCCATGTCGAGATATATGCCGCCATAATGATGGAGTACAAAGTAGCGAATGGCATCTGCGCGTTGAATAGGGAATGGATAGTTGTCCCAGGTGTCCAAAAACCAGGGGTACTCGGCCTGGATGAAGTTGCGAGCCAGCTCGTCGGTCCAGTGCTGCGATCATTAGCGATGATATCCCCGAGACCAAAGCCAATCTTGCACAACGACTTCATTGGCTCCTTTCCTTGATTGCAGTACTCACTTTATATTCAAATTCAGCATACACCTCCCTGCAGCTCTGCCACGCGGGAATCCACCTGTCTGGTATCGTGGCCGTGGCGCTGGTTTGGTGCAGAATTCGGGGTATCGTGTGTGGACGGTCGCCGTGGGGATCTGTGTTGACTGTCGCATTGTGAGGGAGGGCGAGACGCGGGCTGAACAGCTCCTCGTTCCTGCGCAACAGAGTAATGAGCGGCTCAAAGGCGCAGACGACCAATCCGATGATGATCGCGTCGATGAGAAGCAAGATCACAGTGCCTTTCCTCAGCCTGGGCCTGGGCAGCCTCAGCTTCTTTGGCCATGTCGACAAGCCAGAGGAGGCCTCCCACTGCAGACGCTCCTCGTCGTAGAGAGGCTTGTAGCCGGCAGTAGAAGAACCAGTGGCCGAGCGCCTGCGGGTTGGTGAAGCGGTGGTGTTCATCCCAAGGACAGGAGAACGAAGATGCGATACTATCGTCGTCGAGAGAGAATGGGCATTGAGAGAGCAATTGGTCGAGCGAAGCGGACGAAGGCCTGGCTAAGAAGGGGAAGGGGGGCGGCGGGCACTTTGGGCTGGTTAAGAAGCTTGATTGAAACAGCGTTGACGAGGGTGCTACGCAGCAGATCCAACTTAACAAAAGTGGGGAGGGGAAGGGGGGCGGCGTATATGCACGAATACACGTACCCAAGTTAGTTAGTTACGTGCCTATGTAGGTAAAGTAGGCGCAAAAAAAACGAGAGGGAGGAAAAAAAAGGCCTTTCTGGGCCATCACCTGCCAGCGCCACTAACATCTGCATATCAGAGCAGCCACCAGCGTCTCTGCCAGTGCATTGCCAGTGTTCTTCCACTTCCTCGCAGTGTTTTGCCAGTGCCGAGGCTCGTCTTGTCACCCCATTGCCGGCTGGCGACGAGAAAACTGCAGCGCGGTTTTATTTATTTAAGGTACAGCGCTACCTCCATTGGGCCAGCCAAGTACCTAGGTAGGTAGTAGAATCCCCACTGCGCCTCGGGGAACGAGGTTAATTATCTCGCTAGTGCACTACCTACGTCAGACGTAATCTGGCGTGTGGGATCAGGCTTTTTCCTCACTGCAGCTGCAACTGCGAAACTGCCAATGCGAGTGCGCGTGCTGTGTGCGGTGCTGGGGCTGAAGTCCAGCGCAGGCTGCGCAGCCCCTTTTTGGTGTCCACTGCGCTGCAGCACTGCATTATTACTGCATTATTACGTGTAGAGGTGATCTTGGGATGATACGCTGCTGACCCGCAGTGCCCGCCTGTTTGGAATTGGCCTTTGGGGTTGGATTTGGATTTTGTTAGGGGAATCCTGGCGCCCCTGGCTCCTGGGGTGACGACGCATTTTGCTCCAACGGGCGCTCCAACGGGCTCACACGACCCCCGACGCCCGATCCGCGCCTACCATCGAATAGGGTAACAGACAGCGTGCCTGTAGCCCCAGAAAGGGGGAAGTCCCAATGCAAATGCCAACGCTCACGCCCACGCCCACGCCAATGGCCCATCCATGTGCATGTGGGTGCCCGCTGTGAGTAGTCGGACTAACGTTAGGGGCCACCAGCGCCGCTTCAGCCGTTCGGTGCGTCTTACTCGTGTGCCGTAACCGTGTGCTCCAGTCCAGTTTAGTCCAGTCCAGTCTTTCATTCATTCATTCTCAGTCGTCGGGTGTCAGCAGTCATTGTTTCGATTTTCATTCTTCCTTCTCCCTACCTACTCCCTACTCCATACGCACGCCCAGCACACACGCGCCTGTCTCCTTCGCCTTTGCGCCGCAGCGAGTGCGCCGACAAATACACCACCAGGCAGGAGGGCATGCTCGGGGCCTAAAGCGTTGTTAGACCCCCAAAGGAGACGCGAATCATGGCGACGGCTGAACCGGATCTGGGGAAGCCTCAGTTCGCTCACCATGCAGCGGTAGAGCCGGTCGTAAGTGCCTTCCCTCTACAACACCTGATAGTTCTCAGAAGAAGTCGAGAGATGCTAATTCAACATGTCGTCCACAGATGATCGTAGGGATTATGATAGCATCGTGCTACATCAACCGGCTACGAGGCTATTCCATCATCCCTTCCCGCAAGCAAGATGAAGGTCTTCTGGGCCACGACAAGCTGGGGCTGGAGGACGAGGAGGCTCTGCTAGCCGATGCCGACGATGAGCAGGAGGCATCCCCGGCAGCATTGTCCACGGCGACGGCGACCACATCACATCCGTCAAAGAAGCGAAGCTGCTGCGGCATGGTCGTCCACACTCCCAACTCCTCCCGCTACGCAAACTACTGGCACAGCCGATTTATTCAGAAATTCCCCTTCCTGGTGGAAATGTTCTACTGGGCTGTCAACCTCCTCTTCTACGTCAGCGTGAAGCAAGCCAGCGAGCTCATCTTCGCCACCGACGGCGTATGGCAGACGGCAGAAAACCATGGTGTTGCTGTGCTTGCATTGGAGCACGAGAGCCCTTTCAGCTTCTTATTTCCCGTGCGAGAGGTGGATGTGCAGCACTTTTTCAGGAATGGGCACCAGGGCATGCTGACGGTCCTCAACCGGGCTTACTCTCTCATCCATATTCCTGTTACTGTCAGGTAAGTTGCCAGCGCACTTGGTGGTGGCTCTCGCTTAGATCCTTTTCCGATCCATTCTAACCCGGTGTGCATCTAGCTTCCTGGCCTGGTACTACTACGCAGCGCCAACCTTTGAGCAATTCGCGGCCGCACGGCGCATGATGACCTTTACGAATCTATTCAGCTTTGTTGTTTTCACGACCTACCCTTGCATGCCCCCGCGCCTGCTGCCCAAAAAGTATGGCTTCTTCGACACCGTGCGCCGCGAGGACGCCGAGTCCATCTACGCCACCAACAAGTTCTTCAACCAGCTCGCTGCCTTCCCCTCGCTGCACTTTGGCTACGCCTTCTGCATCGGCACCGTGCTGATGTACCACTCCGGCATCTTCCGCCGCCGCCTCGCCCCCCGCGAGAAGCGCATGTCCAAGCTCTGGCAGATCTTCTTTGCGACTCTGAGCATCGTGTACCCGGCCTTCGTCCTGCTCATCATCGTGTCGACGGCAAACCACTACTACCTGGATGCGCTGGCGGCTACGGGCGTTGTGGGCGTCGCGTGGCTGTGCAACCGATCTTTGCTGACGCTGTTGCCGCTGGAGGACCTCTTCCTCTGGGCCGTCAAGCTGGAGAAGCCGATTCCTACCACCGGCAGGCGGAGATCATAGGGCGTGCAACTACGGCTCCAATTCATGCATATATATTCAACGCGGCCTATATATATTTATATAATGATGCATTACGCCCACGGAGTACCGGATTTATTAAGCGAACAGTTCGATCGACCCAACAAGCCGGCCGTTGAGGGAAGCTCGGTGAGGAATCGACGGCAGCGGGGAAGTCTGGGACCAAAAAGCCTAACGGCCAAATACACATGGGTACCGGGCAACTAAATCTAAAAGACATGACTCAATGTTGTCACAACATGGAATACTGGATAGTTCAGATTAAACTAATTTAATACCACATTTTCAAGGGATATCTTCTTGCACTATCAAAATGTGCATGCGGGCAAGAGTGGTTCACAAATTGAGCAGAAACGCTGGTTGATGTCAGCTTTATCTAATTGGCTTGCCTCATTCAGCCACTGCACACTGCGGGTTTGATTGTAATGCCGCCGCTTACACTGTCCGAATAGCCTCACTCATGCAGGAGGTGTTCCCAATAACAAAATTGTAATTCAGCGACTGTAAAGGATTTCTTAACCATGACAGTCTATGAATACAATGACGACTGTTGTCTCTGTCTGCCTAGTTCTCAGCCTATTGTAGGTTGCAGCTGAGGCCAATATTGTGGCTGCGCCCCACGTGATGAGCTGGCAGCCAGCCTTACCAGATGTATCGTCAATGGTAATTCGCTCTTCATGTTGTCGAGTTCCGCATAGTCCTCCATTCTATGTTCTGTTTTTCTTGTTTCTTTGTGTTTTCTTGGTTTATTGAGCCATGGAGTACCCAGCAACCCAGCAGGAGGCTCAGGATCATATCGAGCAAATCAGACGGACTAATCACGCTCGGCAGTCGGACAACTCTGTCGAGAACCTCCAAGTCGCTCTTCAGCTGTACGGCCTTGAGTATTCTGGAAGCTTTTGGCCGTGCGTTGCGCTGATATTTTTATAGTCTTTCCGAACAGTTGTACAGGAGCGCAACCCATTTCTTGTTTGAATTGGTTCAGAATGCGGACGACAATGTCTATGCCGAAACCCCGCCATCGCTGCGGTTTCACTATGAGAACCGACACCTGTTCATCTCGTGTAACGAGGTTGGCTTTTCGAGGGCGAATGTCGAGGCCATCTGCAGGCTCGGCCGAAGCTCGAAAGTTGCTCAATCCAATGACATTGGCCACATTGGAGAGAAGGGCATCGGCTTCAAATCCGTGTTCAAAATCGCTGATGTTGCCTGGATCAAGTCCGGGCATTACTCATTTAAATTCGACAAGTCTGAGCCGCTTGGGATGATTACGCCTATCTGGGCAGACGTTCCCTTCCCCGAAAATGGCATGTCTGGGACGACAAAGATGTGCCTGCGCTTGTCGGCCGATAGCGATGAGGCGTTGCTGATTCGAAATTTGAAGAGCTTTGAATCGAGATTACTTCTTTTTCTCAGAAATCTTAGTTTTATCGAGATCTCGATCAAAGAAGAGTCCGGTGATGAATTCTCAACTTCTATCAGCCGCAAGATCCAGCACACTGAGACCAAAGATTTGAATATGGTGTCTATTCAGCAAGACAATTGCTGCCAGCACTACTTGGTCTTGCGACACACGGTCGAGAATATGCCCTCGGACCCAACCCGGCCCGGATATAAGCAATCAAACATCTTACTTGCTTTCCCAGTCAAAGGACAAGGCAAGCCTGTGTTACAAGTTCAGGAAGTCTTTGCTTTCCTTCCCATTCGAGACTATGGCTTTATGTTTGTCATCCAAGGAGATTTCTTACTCGTTGCAAATCGTGAGGACATTGACAGTTCGAGAGCGTGGAACATTTCACTTGAAGAAGCCATCCCATATGCATTTCTCAAGGCCGTCCTCGAGTTCAATAAGCAGGTCCCTCTTAGATACAAGTGGATGCGGTACATAAGCAAGTGGCGCGAGAGCCACGAGTTCTTCTCAGTGGAGCTATCAACGATGGAGCTTCTACGCGAGCAGCCAATCCTCGAGTCAATGTCTGGCGAGTACAAGCAGCCTCAAGACTTATTTATCGTCCCTGAAGCGTTTTGTGGAGATCGACTTCACCCCCTACTCCTCTACAAAGAGACGGAGCAGAGGTATCTCTGCTCAGAGTATGCGCGTCGTGACTGGCTCTCGCTTGAGAAGTTAGGTGTCCGTCACTTGACGCCGGACGACTTTATGGACGACCTGGAGTACTATCTCGAACACTACAAACTGGATTATCAGGCCAGCACGGACGATTGGCACACTAGTCTATGCCAATCTCTGCTAGCACTTTGGCAAGGCGACATTTGCATATACAAGGATAGGCTGAGCAAGTTGAAATTGATCCCGACAGAAGACGGCTCTTGGGTGGCACCTAAAGACCAGAAATTGTTCTTTGCAAATGTTACAGACATAATTGAGCTTCCTTTAGGGTTTCCAGCTCATCTTTTACCTTCAAAAATAAGGAGAGATTCTCCGAGGGGCAAGCTTTATCAGCGCATGGGAGTCAAGCTATTCACCCCGGAGGAGTGCTGCCGTACAATTGCCGACCTTCATGCGGATTCGCTATTTGATCCAAACTCTCTCACACGGCCTGAACTCATATCTCACGCCCACTTCCTTCATAAGCACGGCTGGAAGAATGCTTCCAGAAGGCGCTTTTGGTTCATCTCTGCGGATGGAACTTGTGCCCTGGGGAGGGAGCTCTACGTCGAGTCGAGGAAAGAATTTGGCTCCCACTCTTGGCCGCTGAAGTTCACATCCACGCTACGATTCCTTCACGATGACTACCAATTGTCTGCATCGAGCGAAGCTGAGTGTGACGAGGACTGGGACGATTGGCTTGCTGAAGCCTTTAATTTTAATATATATCCCCCACTGGTGAAGTCCAGCGCAAACGATGCGTTTTCACTTTCCGCGGACTTCCGTCTCCTCATGGCAGTAGCTCCGGCTGTGTACATCTTGGGCCTTCTCAGCAATCAATGGGATCGTTACGCTCCTTGGATAGATGAGGCAGTGGCTATGGAGGCCACTCACCTCTGGGAAAAGTGCAGCAACCGTTTGAAAGCACAACTGGGAGAAATGCGAGTCATCTGCATGTCCGGAGTGGTCATGCCCCTCAAAGCAACGACGCTTCCTGCCAGTGGCATCTACAACAGCCAAGATCCTCATGAGCTCTTTCTCGATGTGCCGAATCCGGAGCACCCAAGCTGGCTTTTCCTTCGACATCTGGGAGTTGATATAGCCGCGGAAGGAGGCTCGTACCTCAAACAGCTCCGGGCGTTATGCGACCAAGACATTCGGGTTTCTGATGCGACTAGGATTTACCAGTACCTAGAACTTGACGGACCTAGTGGCAAGGAGCTACGGCCAATATTTGCCAACGAACGACTGATATTCATCCCATCGAGGATCGAAGGCGCATCAGGTACCTGGGTTAGCTCTAATTCATGTCGTTGGACTGGACCTGATACCTTGCAAAAGACCTCACTTCTTGAGCAGTACTATCCCTCCTTGCACTGGTTCTTCCGTTCAGTATTAATGATAGACGACGCTGGGCTAGCTGAGCTGATACAAGAGGCGTTACAAATTAGTCTCACTGATGATTTAGACTACATTGCAAAGCTTTTTTCGTCCATCTCCAAGTCAGCACCTGAATCCGATGACTCTGTGGCTATAGAGTTGATAGAGAAGTTGGCTACAAGTCGGGTTTTTCCAATACGATCCAGGGGGAGTAGTCTGCCTTTCGACAGTTTGCTTTCTGCTTCGAAATATGACATATGGCTCATCGCAGATCGGCCACATCTTCATCGAGCCTTTGACGGCATCATAAACCTTCTCGCTTTTGATCACAAACAAATAGGAGACATGTCACAACTCGTCAAGCTGTTGAACTTGGATCGCAGATTGCTTTCAGAGATAGTGTCGGAGTTCATCATGCCTGATGGAGACTCTCATATCCATGAAGATTATACTCTGATGATGAGGTCTAAGGCTCCATTGATTGCTAGGTACAAGTCCTTCGCCGACAACCAGAGCTTGCTTTTACTAACCTGCTGACAGCATGGCAAGTACAAGCAGTCCCGAAAAACGCCGAGAAATATATGAAGCATTGCGTACTATGGATGTGTTTGAGGCGACCCGAATAATGATCAATTGGTCATTCACGTCAACCGATGGGTCAGCAATTGAAAGTCACGCCGAAGAAGGACGAGTCAAATTAGAGTACGGGGACCCATCAAAAAACCTTTCATTATACTTGACTTCTCCGGATATCGCGGCTGGATCACCGCCGTTAGAGCTCTTGGAAGAACTCCTCAAGTTCTGCAATATCGAGGACCCTAGTAAAGCCCCACTGATACATCAAATACTCACTATCAGTGAGAGGTCCCGTTGCGTTCAGTTGCTTGAGCGCCGAGGAGTTCTCATCGAATTTCTCGACGAGCCCTTAGATTATCACTTGGACTCTACAAAAACAGCAATGCAGCAGTCATTAACTACCAACAATAAGCGCCAAGCGAAGAAAAATCTTAAAGATTTCGTGAAAAGCGTTGAGAGTGCCAGTTCCGTTGAAGCTGCCTTGGCGCGAGACTGGTCTCGAGACAATCATGCCCTCCTCGCGAAGATTTCAAGCTTGGACAACCAGAACCATGAGAACCTCTTGCCTATCTTGGGCGTCAAAAAGGCGGGTGTATTCAACCTAAATCATCCTAATCAATCTACCGACCTGTCTATTTCTGATTTAACGATTTCTGATCTATTTACAAAGTTGCGGACAGAACACAACGTAATGTTCGAAGCAATATATGTCCCTGTCTCCAAGACTGGCCGGCCCTGGCTGCATGTTTCCGCACAAAACTTGAATAATGTCGAGGAAGAAGCTGCGTTTCTCGGTGAATTGACTGTAAGAGTTTACACTTAATACTCCACTCTAGCTCCACGAGCTGACATGATCTTTAATAGTTTTCAAGATTGTTGGAGAGCTATCTCGGGGACGCCTTTCAACCACATCGCCACT